CGAGTATTACCGGAGCAACATCCTGTCAGGGAGAATGAGAAGTGACGCCGGGAGAAGCTCTTATCCTTCTGGACTAACGGACTACGGCTTGGAAATAGTTTTCATCCTAATTCCATCGAGATCTTATGGACTTTTGTCCAGCAAGAGGTGAATAAGGGGACACCCGGCACCAGGACAGAGCAACTGGTAGGCACATGCTAATACGGCGTCGGTCCACATCAAACCCACTGTGCTTAAAAACCCAGTAGCTGGAATGTTCTAGGCATTTCTAAATATGATCTTATGAAAGGTGGCTATATCATCATCAAAGGGAAACAACCTCAGGTTGTTTGTTTCTTAATTACAGCTGAAAGAAAGGTTTGCGGATAATGTCGTTACACTCTGTATCATTCTATAGACTAATTCACTGATACGTCAGCCATAATAATTCTGTGACTTTTGTCATCCTGAGGCTCTAACTAAACTAACTGAATGCTTAGAGCAAAAGAAAATGACAAAATTGTGACCAGCGACTTCAAATACAGCAAATGAGACTGATCATGTGCAAAAGTCAACCAAAGGCCATTTGAGGTCACATAAGGTCAACATAAGACTTGACCGTTTCAAACAACCTAACTATATGTCATTCGATGTATCTTGATATGACTAATGCGTTGGCACCACCTTCTTTGCTGAAGAACTCTGCAAAAAAAACCGCAGCTCGGGGTCGCTGACCTGCCATCTACCCTAATGTAGGTATCAAAAATGTGTTTGTATTTTTTCCGAAGCCCCTAGGCCCCCTAGGCATTCGGGGGCTATCGCAACTATTCGTCCGGGGTGGGGGAAAATGCCCTCCACGGGCCCGCGTGGATTTACACCTCTGACGAGTGTTACGGTTGACAGAATGTGTCCGTACAAGTTGGGGAGCCGTGGCGACGCCCCTGCACACAGTACAGCATCACTGTAAGACAACCGTTCTGCTCCCGTGAATGCCTCTCCCATTTCGTGAATGTTGTCAGGCACATCTATGTACAAAGGCCTCGACCGGCAAATAATGCGCACTGGCGAGGTGATCGCCAGGCAGACGGCGGGACCAGGCCGACACGAACGACAGGAAAAACTGCCTTATGAAAACCTCGCCGAGCTGCAGCAGCGGCTGTGCGAGCCCAATCGGTCCCGCATGATCGCTAGCTCGTGTCCGAATGGCTAGCGACAAAACAGCTAGTGTCATTTGAGAAAGTACGTCTGAGCTAGTGCTACAAAAGAGCTAGTGATGTAAAGGCTAATGTTAACCCTATTAGTGGCAGGCTCTTGGCTACCCCTATTAGTGGCAGGGGGGCTGTTTACGACCCCCCTTGATATCTCGAGATCTAACGGGCCGATTTTCAAAATTCAAACGGCATTCGATTTCGCTCAACGTGATCTACATTTCTAAAAAAATAAAAATTAAAAAAATGTCAATAGGGGGGCATAGGGGGTAAAACAGGGCAAATTGCAGATACATTTTAGACTGTTTATCACGGCCAGGTTTCTGAACCAATCTTAACGCAACTTTTGCCGATCGATAGAGAATGAACCAGGAATTCGCATGGATTCTAAAAATATGCATTTTCAAAAATCATAGGCGGATACAGATCATTGAGATTGGGGGTACACAAAAAGTATAGTAAATAAGGTTTTTGTTGGTACTGTTTCTAAAAAGGGTGGTAATGGTCTTGTTATGTTACAATTTTCGTATGAGAGAACGACTACAATTGTATTGGTCATGCATAGGCGGTGTCAGGGCACCTATGTTGGGAGGTAAAACATAACCCCCTTTTTGGACGCCTGGATCCGCCTATTATAGCAAAAACGTGTCAAAAGAGGATGCACAATATCTATTATCTTTGTATATGTTATCACATGATACCTTTCATTCGCTGTTCGTAAAACTGGTGCATACAGTTATAATACATCAGCATCGTGATCTTCGCCCAAATGACTCGCTTCACGAATAGGACCCCCCAATTCCCAGTGCTCTGGAGCCGCCCCTGGTAAAGTTATGAACTTGAAATTTTCAGGGAATGTGCCTAATTTAGTTTAAGGAAAAGTCAGAAAATTTCAGCATCGTAGCTTCAGCGGTTTCGGAGATATTCCCGAAAAACCTGAGGGGTGGATGAAAACAACCCCCCCTGCCACTAATAGGGTTAAGATAGCTAGTAACTTATAAGAGCTAGTCCCAAGGAGAGCTAATGGCGCAAAAAGCCAAAGCATATTTTAGCGTTCCCTAAAAACACGGTGCGCAGAAATGATCAGAGCATGCTCGCAGTCATAAAAATCATACTTAATCGACATTAGTTGAAAACTGACCCGATTTATTCAAACCTTGAGCTTCAAACTAACAGAGCTGGGCGCGTTCCTCGATTTTCGGTAGTGCGTTAGCGTTCCTGCGTTCCTCCGGCCGCGGTTAGTGCGTTCCTGGAATAGCGTTCCTCAATTTTTTTTTTCGTTCGGTGCGTTAGCGTTCCTGCGTTCCTGCGTTCCTCCCTCAAAAATACCGCCGAACCACGCGGCGCGGGCCCAACCAAACACGGGGCGAATCGATCACAGAATACCCAGAATGGCGACGTGGGGCCGAAAAGCAACTCGACATCTCTTTTCCGAATCGAATATCTGAAATACGTTTTACCAATATCATCCGTAGGGTTTTCAACAAAAATACGACCTGCTTAAAAACAATAGTTAAGTTAAAAGATGTATCATAGTAAAAGTTATCATATTTACTTTACACATTTAATGCCTGAAACTGAATCGAATAGTAAACATCACCACTAAAAATCTTTACACATTTAATGCCTGAAACCGAATCGAATAGTAAACATCACCACTAAATCTAAGCAAGCCTTCCTCGATTCGACCGACAAGTGGCGCCTCCCGGCAAACACACGTACTCGAGATTCAAACATTTGACACAGAGTTCATTGGCAGCAATATAATTTTTCGGGTGGTTCCGCAAGAACGCAGGAACGCTTTAAAATTTCGGGTGGTGCGTTCCTCTTACTTGCGTTCCTTTGAAAAACTTTGCGTTCCTGCGTTCTTGCGTTCCTAAAAAGGGCGGTGCGTACGTACGGAAGAACGCAGGAACGCACTAAAGGAACGCACTTGCCCAGCTCTGCAAACTAAATTCTCGCAGTTATCAGATCCGGTGAATCATTTGTATCATTGTGTGGGGTTTATACCAATGGATCGGCATCCACTGCCGTTAGTTCTCAGGTTGGCGGGACTGTAATCGAAAAAAGAACACACAATCCTGCTCCTCATCCAGCCCGGGTGGAAATTTTAACCGCAGTAAATTCTATGCTGGAATCGGCGGTAACTACGAACCAAGCTCCCAAAAGAATTATCAGTGAAATCGAAATGAGTCACGAAGCACAGTCTCTAGCACCGAAACGAAAATCATTGTCTGCACGGATTGTTCGAAAAACAATCCGTGCTGGCAAGCGACATTCATGCCCGTGGGGACAAGGTGCTGCGCTTCATCGAGTTCTGCAATTAGCTAGTCTGGATTCGCCAGGGTGACACACTTTAAGAAATATCCGGACTGTTGTGCAGCGGCAAGGAAGCCAACACCACAAAGACGCATCAGACGACCTCTCGGATGCCATCGATAACTATGTTGTGAGTAAGTAGCTGCCGACCGCGACAACGGAGAGCAAAACGGTTAACGCGGAGATGAAGGCAACAAACTGCATGCCGATGAAATTGAAGTCACCGTGTGGCACGCTCTCAACTGTGCCTTTTAGTCATACGCAAGCAAAATCAAACAGCAAGGACGCTAAACATCCATCGCAAAAAAAAAAATCAGACATGCGCTAATGGTTAGTTGTTTGATGGGAAGTGTGCGAAAATAAATAAGGAATCCGAAAATATTCCAGATTCATTCAACTGCCGGGCGAGCTATCAAAGTGTACAATCGCCGGCTGAGGAGTGAGGATGTTATAGAATGAACTCCAAATACCGTAAAAAGAGTAAAAAGAGAATAGCAACTACGACATTTAAAACTACCTTGTCCCTCACTCCCCAACGTCAATCTATATGTAGAGTGGATTCGTTGTATTATTGGTTGTATTGTTGTGTCTGCAAGTTTTAAATCATTTTGTGTTGCAAGTTATTGTCGGAGTTTGGTTTTGCTTCAAGATTGCAAAGAAACAGCTAAATTATCTGCGCTATCGTTACATGGCTTGTCATTTGTTGTATACTGAAAAGTTAGTACTGCCGGCATCTTATCTGCAACGTGAAACAACCCGTAATTGACCTACTTTTTATTGTTTACTTGAGTTCATGTTTTTATTGTATCATTCTGATCGTTTGCCACTCTTCTGCTCTCGTATTCATTTTCGTCACCATCATCAGCTGTTCTGCTCCTAAATGAAATGGCAGTTGTTTTTCGGAAAACCAGTCAATACAAAATTCAGCAGCGAGTTTAAGTTCTGTCAATTAGTGTTGTGATGCGGCCAAATGTAAGAGTCGCCTGGCATCGAAAATGCAACATCGAACAGTATCACGAAGACGAAATATGTACAATATCGAACAGTATCACGAAGACGGATCGAAACAGCAAACCATTCTCAGACCCCTGTCTGCTACCGGCCCAAGCAGTTTGCCAGTGAATGGCTTCGGCCCCGTCAGCGCCAAAGGCTGCGAATCAGACAACGGAGCGCTGGATCGGAATCAACCTTGTGCCCTGCCTAAAGTCTGAATACATAAACTGTTGCCCTAATAGTCGACGCTAAAGGAGTGTAGGCCGTCGACCCCACCATCCCACCAATTAGCCCGCTCACAGACTACAAGAGCCTCACAGGCACTGTAGCTGCAGAAAAGGCTGCAGCGTTTCCACCGACTCCGACTCAGACTCGACATTCGGGGTGACAACATCAGCAACAGGAAATAGTGCCCTCACTACATCTAATCAGTGCATTCATTTCACCCCAGCCTGTGCGCCGACGGCAGTTGTGACCGGTGACCCGGGCAGGGTGACTGACCTCTGACCAGCGCGCTGGTAGCGTCCTCCAGGAAGGCCGTGTAGCGCACCAGCTGACTGAGCCGCTGGTACTTGGTGAGCAGCAGTTCGGGACCGCAGGCCGGCGTCAGACTCGTCACCGACATGAGCGTGCAGGCTGTGCGCAAACTGCGCTGTCTGCGCACCAGCACACAGCGGACACAAAGGCGTTAGAACAGCAATAGGTAATGCAACACAAATTAATAGAAGCACCAATCAATGCATGTAGGTAAAAGCGAGAGCTCAAGCCCCACACCAAATGCCGTTGCATACCTACCTACGTTCCGTTTCCTGGCGAGTCTATATTTATCGTCTTTTGTACGTTCATGACGTATTTGAATGCCGTTAAATTTGTTGCGTTTCTTGTCAGTGTATTATTACAGCAGGCACTTCGTAAGTCGACAGCACAACACGGAATATTGGACTTGAACTAAACAAAGCACGCCGACAGCCTCGTCCGCATTTCCTCAAAAGAAATCCCCATATTATGACAACTTGACGGTAACAAATATATAAAGGAATTTGATAAAACTCACCTTTCGGTTTCCCGGCGAATTCTTCTTTGAGACGACTGCGCTTCTGGAGACGCCTCATACGGCTCTCGGGCCCTGCGGCGCCTGAAAGGTGTACCATTTTGTGGGGCCCGTTCGGTTTGATCCCTCACCCTTCACTTTTCACCATCTATCGCTATTTAATGAAACAGTTTAACACAAACAAACAAACAAACAAAACTTGTAAAGGAACGCATTCCCCGTCTTCCAAAATTTGTTTTGAAGAGTTTCGAGATAGACCGGCCTCGAAAGCAGCAGAAAGCAGACGAGAGCAGACAACACAAAAATGAAAAAATCAAGAAAAAATATCATGCACGAGACTTCTCATGAAACTTTGAGAGGCTCCTCCGATTTTGAGGAGTAGGTCATTCACACGACATCCCCAATAAAAAAGTTTCAAGAAATGGAATACAAAATCAAAGGAAAATAAATTAATGTTTGCACTTTGCGATATCTTTTTTTGTTCATTTTTAGCATGCAAACTGGAAAGGCAAATATAAATTGGAAATGGAAGCCCAATGAAAGTCAAATCGTACTGCTACAAAATTAAAAAAAGTCTTGACCCCACAGGCCAGAGTTAGGTACGGGCAACAGGTAAACCGGTACGGGCAAAGCGTGTGCTTGACTTTTATGGGACATCGGATTTACGTAATATATTTAGAGAAAAATAACAAGCGAACAAAATAACATTCAATTAGAGTGCATCAAAGGCCCTTATTACTATAAACATGTGACGCCTTAGTGTTTGCGATGTTTTATGTAATGCTTGCTCCATAATCAAAAAGGCGCTACGGATGCTTTGTACCTAACTAATTAATTAATGCGTGATTTTCACTCGTGATAAATCTACTGCTATTCAGGATTCATATATGGTGAGAAAAATATGGCGTGAGATTCCCCATTTCAAGGGTTCACGAAATTTGCAACGATCGACTTCGCTTCATCGCGGCCAATCTACATGTGCTACCAAATGCAGAGAACAGCAAGGTTATGAAATATAAAATTGGCTCAAGCGGACGCCAGAAGGCGGAATAAAAGATCTCTGCATTCATCATATAAAAACACGGCAGCCCATGAGCCCATGAAATATTCGCCCAACGCTGCACTGCATCACAAAAAAAGACACCTCACACATTTCTCTCGTCCACATCCACCTCACCTGGTGTCGCGCCGTGCCGCGTCGGGCCGGGCGCGGCCCTGCCATGGCGTCTCCGGGCCGCCGCTCACCCACTGGCCGTCGCCGCCGGCGCCCAGCGCGCTCATCCGCGACGGATTCATGATCAGAGAACTGCCGAGGGAGCTGAAACAAGCAAGCGTTCATCGAACATGAACGGAGGCAGTGACAACTGTATGCAGAATGTTTAGTTGTATTTTTCACCCAAAATGTAGTCACCTGAGGTCACAGCAGTATGACGATAATCTCCAAGCGTTGCAAAACAGCCGCCGTTGTCACTTGTCGCTTAGTCTGTGGGGTAGTAATTAAGCATTACTGGCGGCCTAAGTCGAAGCACGGGGGCACGGGGCTAGCCGCTAAGTTGATTTAACTGCAAAATGCGAAAATAGATGGCCGGGGCCTGGAGGGTAACTTTCCTTCCATGGCGTAACGTAAAAAAAGTATTTTCGCAGAATGAGCCCGGAGACGCCATCCCCTTCCGTTGACCGTTCTGTCGGCGACTGGGTGTAGCAAGGCTAGTGGGTACGGTCTCGTCGCTGATGTCCAGCACAGCACGCAAACCAGCTTCGCTGTGCAACTGGAAGTGCAACGGAAGTGAAAGGCAACAATTCTTTTTGACGGGCGTTCCGTTCGCCGTTCGGCAGTTCGGTTATATCTATCGTACTCAAGCCAAGTGGCATAGGACGCGTCTGACACCAAGCAAGTCAGGCAAACATCCCAGTTTACGTTTTGCTGGCATCAGCATATAGGCAGGTACTGATTAATTTGAATTTGAGTTACTGGCGGTTGGTAGCTACTAGCTACGCGGATACGCGGCACGGCTATATCGATATGGCCGTAACCGTAAGCACATCACGGCTTAGCGAAAGTCGCATATAATACCTACTCACCAATCAAAATCGATGGAATCGCAGCCAACAGGCAGGCTTGCGTTACGGAAATCCAGCGTCAGTGAAAAACGAGTACCTATGTATGAGCAGATTGAGCACGGCCTTGATCAGCACAAATGCGCAAAAAATAGAAGAAAAGCCAGAAAAGCAAGTCATAAGTCATACACTACGGCGCGGCGGCGCAAGAGATAAAAGCCAAATTGCTGCCAGATTGGGCTACTGTTCACTTCACGAGCTTCTTGGCGGTTTTCACCCAAATAGTGTAATATAGCGCCAAACGGCCACAGCCTTATCTTTCGAAAACCATGCTGATAAAGAAAAATACCTAACCATATTTTTCATGTATTGAAATTATATTTAGTTTTATTCTTAAGACTACCTTTCTTGGCTATTGCAAATGATTTTGACCATAATTTTGACATAAAATTTGTGACTTTGGCAGCAAGCCTGTTGTCATGGCAACATCAGCTATGGCCTTGACATCTTGCCTTGTTGACATCGGCGATTGAGATCTATCAGGCCGAGTGTAGATTCGATTCGGTTGCATCTGGAAGTGTTGAATTTTGACTGTTGCATACACGTTTATCCTCATCACCACGGTACGCCTCCGATAAGGCCCTCGACCAGCTGAACATGTCAGGCAAGTCGCAGACAATCTTGAAAAGTTATCATTTCAATTTGTGCACAATTTTAGTACCCGTGAGATTGTAGCGTCCTCTAGAGCTGCCTTTGCGTACGACTTATATCTAGGTGGCAGCACATGGTGGGGATCATGATGTTACATCGCTAACATTACGGCTATTCCCATCAAATTTGTTTCCCCTTGCCCCTTGGCATTGTAGTTAGTGGGCACTGGGCTTGGCCTGGCTAGCGGGAACGGTGCACCCGTCGGTCAGGCTGCTCTTCTTCCCTCTTCAGCGCGCCAGATGACGGCGCTGGGTGAGCGTTCGGACCGCCCCGCCTGCCGAATGTGTGCACCCGCTGATCTTGCCATCCGGCCCGGAGAGGACCTTGAGGGGTTGAAGGGGCCCTCCCCAGATCCGGTGCCTCGTGGAGGCATATGTCGGGCACTCGGGGAGAGGTGTGATGTGTTGTCTACGGCACCTCACTGCCGGCAGTACGGGCTCGGGATGAGGTCCGCTCTGTGGCGTGTGGTCCTCGGCAGGGAGCAGTAGCCGCTCATTAGGTGAGCCAGGGTGAGAGTTGTTCCGAACGCGAGAGGCCATCCCGGTCTGTGCGGTTATTTGGACAACTGTGGAACACAGTTTCGCACGGGGCAGCAGCCAGCCCGCCTATGACAAGATGTAGGCCTCGTTCCGGGAGGAACAGGCGCGCTTCTGATGCCGCAGCCGCTGTTGGCTGAACGTGAAGAATCGGGTGGACATGTCCAATGTCAATATGTTTGGATCGTGCTCCGTTGAAGATATTGTACAACTGGCCGGGCAGGAAAGGGCTCGTTAGTGATGGTAACTGGTAAGATAGTCATTCGTGGGCATGTGTGAATAGGATCACCGGCCATCAATGTTGGTAATATCACAAAACACTGGACAAACGTTTCATCAACATAAATAAACTTAACTCGTCTGGTTATTACCGCGTGGACTGCACATTGAACAAGGGTCCGCCTGACTGCCTATCCGATAGCACCTAAAAGACCCCGTCTGTGCAGCGCCAACTCTGTGCGGCCTGCCGTGTAATGACCGACACTGGACAAAACCGCTAAAACAGAGACATAGTTCAGTTAAACGTCCACTGTAGCACGCTGTGGTTTTATTGTCACATTAGCACACTCCCAATAAGAAGTAGTTACATGATAAAACAATAATTTACGACATGCATAACTAAATAAATTAGACAAAAACGTATCCCAAACAAATAAAACTTTCAGGATATACAGCCGATTGCGTTCTTGTCGACAAGAAATTATGACATTTGTTTGTCGCAGCTCGACGATGAAAGCTTCCATGGTTGTACTTCTATTGTTGTACGAACACCGCGCAATAAGCACAGTACATACTAATTTACTTCATTCGGTCACACGGTAAACCGCGACGGAATTGGTTTAGCAGAACAGTCAATAAAACTATCACACGCAAAGATACAACTACTTCTAGTAAATAAAATTTCATACATGTAAAGCTTGTTACCTGACACTCTGAATTTCCAAAACGGAAACAAAATTATGACTCGCAAGATTTTTTATGCAATATACATTATACATCTTATTTTATCACACACAAACACGACTATTGCACTCCATTCACTTACTCGGTTCGCACATCAAATCCCTGTATAACATTGAGCAACATACAATTACACATTGTACAACATACATATACCGGGTTCGGCCCTTTGCTCCAAGCTCTTCTTTTCACTGCCTAAAGTGTAGAAGAGATTATAGTATCGTCACTTGTGACTAAGAGAACTTAAGTGTAAGCTTTGGTCAATCTCAAATAAGTAAACTTGGTTGATTTCTACTCCCAATTCATGATTCGATCGTCCGTAGTTGTACGGAGTTCGTCATTCACGACCGACCACAGTCAGTCTGAGGGCAGCCGCCGCTAGTTAGCGATGGTCGGCGTTACTTACCGCCCTGTTCCAACGCAGCTGGTCCCGTCAGGCTGAGGACAACGACCGCCAATCGGCGATAGTTAGCGCCACTGTCCCGTTCCAGCGCTGCCGATCACGGAGGGCAAGGACGACTACCTCCAATCTGCTATGGTCGGTACGCCGGTCACACACAGGGCGGCAGCGTGGGATGGTCTTCACTCACAGGGCGGCCGGCGCCAGTCGGCAATGGTCGGCACCTCTGCCTCCTCGCTCTCGTTCCAGAGCTGCTCGGCGGTGAGTAGCCGCCGTCCGCCTGGCACGGTGATGTACCGCAGCAGGCGGACACGATCTGAGGTGGGCTGGCCGTACCGCTCCAGCGAGGTGCCTGAGATAGAGAGAACGGTGGGGTCAGACTGAGAGCGACTCTGCAGGGCGCGAGGGAGCTCTAGCAAGGTGGCTGCCACGGGGAAAACGATGGGGATAGAAGAAGAGCGACTCTGAGGGGAGATAGGCACCTCTGATCGTTTGCCGCTTCAGAAGTGCAAAGAAATATCCACGTCCGTATTTTGCATTATCAAACATGAGTTGAAGATCGTTGAATGAGATTAGTTTACAGTTTCGAAGAATTTCACGACTATAAGAAAACTTAATGACGTTCCTAATATTTTCCATGCTATACGTCAGGCAGTGCCGGACTCCAGTCTCCTCTCCCGTTGCTCTTACCTCCGACGTAGATGCCGAGGGAGCGTCCGTCGGGCAGGTCGCTCTCCAGTCGCTCCACCAGGCCCTCTGAGATGCAGTCCACACAGCTGAGGTCCAGCAGAGCGAGCGAGGGAAGGGCGACCGCCAGCCTGGGTGGGGTAAAAGAAGAGAGGTCAGATAACGGAGAGACGAATGATTGTTCAGTCCAACAACGCAGCGTGGGTTATTTGCAAAGGAGGCGCCCTTTCCGTTGCGACGAGTCTACAGGAAACAAAACTGAAGACTAGCTCATCGGCAATCACCGTCAGGGCCGTCAGACCTCCACACTCCCCATCCCGTCCCCTTACCTACCCAACCACTCCGGTCTCTGTGAACCGGGCGCTGCCGGTGGCGTCCTGCGCCAGCCGCAGCTCGCGCAGCGGCAGAGCCCGTAGCCGGTACAGCACGTGATCGGTGACATCACACACGTAGCCGACGTCCAGGGATTGGAGGTGACAGAGCCGGTCGAGGTGTGTCAGACCCGACTCTGTCACACCGTCACAGCCTGGAGAGGCGGGGAGAGAGGATCAAGCACAGGCAGCTGGGGAGGGTGTAATTGAGTGCGACATGATATCAAAAGACTGGCCTGGACTACGGCTGCATAGTGCATATCAAATGGGTATAGTTTCCACATTTCAAGACAGTTTCCGTCGTTTGATAAGATTCGCTTCCACGGTATTGGCATTGAAGACTTGGGTGGTGATAGTTATATGCCGGTAGGTATGGTGTTGCATTCAGATGTCGTTTGATTAGGGTCATTTCCCGTCCACTGCCTGAGCACTGACGGTGTATCAAGTCACATCCTCTCTGTTCTCGTAACTCCCGCGCTCCATCCCTCTCCCCTCACTAACCCTGGACGTTGAGCGCGGTCAGTGCCGGCGCCAGCTCCGGCAGGCGGCGCAGCGTCTCGTCAGTGACCCCTGGCGCGTCACTGACGTCCAGAGACACCAGCCGCGCCAGCCCCTCGGGCGGCAGGTATAGCTGCGGCGGCGGGCCGAGCCGAGCCGCCGACAGCCGCTCCAGACACCGGCAGCCGGCCAGAGCCGCCGCCAGGTCGGCCGTCTTCAGCCGCGCCACGCCCGTGAGCTCGAGCTCGCGCAGCTGGCGGCAGCGCGCCACGTGTCGCACGTGCTCCGAGCTGAGCCAGCCGCAGGGCAGGCTGAGCTGGCGCAGCGAGCCGGGCAGCAGCGCCAGGCTCTGGCCCGTCAGCTGGGTGCCCGGCAGCAGCTGGAGCCGGCGCAGACGCGGCAGGTGGCGCAGCAGCACCAGCACCGTGGCCTCGTCACACACGTAGTAGGAGGGCAGGGTGACGTCCTCCAGCAGCGGGCAGGCGCGCACCAGACGCCGCAGACGCTGCTGGCTGAACGTGAAGAAACCGGATGACATGTCCAGAGACAGCAGGTTCGGACAGTGCGCCGCTGAGGACGAACGGACACAGACAGACGTGGTGGTTAGAGATAGCAAGACAGAACTCCGCTTCGCTTGCTGATATGAAGTCAATTCAATACTGATTCGGTAATTTTTAGCCCGTTGATACCTGACCTTGCCATAGGGGCCATCGAATCCAACCCTCTGCACATGCCACATTAGACATTATTTAGGTCCAACCCATTGCAGCACCCTCGGGACGAGTCTCCATCCCTCCCTGATCTGCCCTCTACTGCCGCGCTCTCCAGGCACTCACTGATGTGGTCCATGGCGTCGAACGGGCAAAGGTGCGCCGGTCCCGTGTGCAGCCGCCGCAGCCCGGTCGCCTGCCGCAGCAGACTCCGCATTTGTTCAGAGTCCATGGAGACCCTCTCTCCAGCGTCGGCAAAGTCTCGGTCGAGCAGGATCTCCGCGCGGCGCGCCAGCAGGCCGGCCACCACGGCGTGCCAGCGACGCGACACGGCCTGTGCGATCAGCTGGTACCGCAGCGGCAGGAGAGACAGGATCTGCTCCAGCAGCTCCGCCGGCAGCCGGTCCGCGTGGCACGCGCCCGACGACCGGCCGCGCCGCCGCCGCCGCCTCCGCTGTCCCCGCGGCTCGGCCGTCACTGACTCCGCTGGCGAGGCAGGCACCGTGGGCAGGGACTGCGGAGGGTGGGCGGCGGACCGGCGCGGCCGGGCCGGCTCGGCAGTGACCAGGCGGGAGCCCAGCCACACCGAGCCGACGCTGGCCGCCTCCAGGGCTCTGAAAACGGCGACCGGTGACGGTCAGTTCAGTGGAACGATCAGTGTCGACTGACCGGCCGGCGACGCGGGCAGGCTACATGCAGATTCCTGCCTCAGTTTACAGAATTTGATATCCCAGTTAGACTTCTCCTCGAGCCCGAATCTGCGCCATACTTTTCGCCCATGATTACAATTTACAAGTGTATCTATTACGGGTGAAATCCAGCAAGAGAGGGCACATGAATGCTGGGATATTCTGGAAGTCACCGGTTCTTACCCGAGCGCCGCATTCCGCTCCGTGAACGTCACGAAACAAAAGTCACGGAGCCGGCCGCTTTCCTTGTTTCTGACAAGTGTGACGTCCTTCACGAAGCCGAAGTCCTCGAAGGCGTGGAAGACCGTGCGCTTGGAGATCTGTTAACAGGCAGAGCAATGAAACTAGAATGATGCAAGAAGTTGATCTTCGCGCAATTTTTATCCAGCTAATGAAAAGGTGCTAGGTACTTATTTTTGCTCTTTGTCCCCTTGCCTGGAAAATTAATTGGTTTAACTGGACACAGCCGAGTTGAAGGTCAAGAACGATAAGTCATAAACTCAGTAGCAAAGATCAAGCTTCACATCTACAGGAGAAACAATAGAATGCATATTATCGCCAATATAGGTACTATAAAACAATCATCGATAAAAATGAGCAAAATTTAAGCAAAACACAATCGGTTATCAATATATTACTCCTGGCACTCACTCTTCGCGGCAGGTTCCTGACGCAGAGCCGCAGTTGGTTATCGCCAGTGTTGTCTGGCGACTCCGGCCACCCTCCACCCCATGTGCTGGATCGGGTCCCTGAGCCATTTGCCAGTGCGGGCTGGTGTATGTCCGCTGAAGGCTCTGGACGGTGCTGAGCATGTCGGAAACGCCGTCTGCGGGGCATCACGTCCTGCTGGTGCCTCTGGGAACATCATGACGTAGACAGTATGGTGTCAGGAGGTGGACGTGCCATGCTGCATACTCCATATCACATCTTATAACTAGTATCAACATATCATCCCTTATAATCGATGTGAAAGATTCTTGCTATATAAACTAGAAACTTGACAATGTGAAAGGACAATGCACTAATGTGTGTAGATTGGTCTAATAAACAAAACAAATTACAACAGACCCAAATAATGCATCATCCTTAATTTTCTACAGTACAGCTTTCTAATGAATGACATTACCAAACCAATATTAGTAATATTAAGCTAAACCATTGATAAAAATGGGAACTAGGAAGTTCGCAGGATTTTAAAAAGATGCTCCCAATCAATAATATCATTATATCTTATAACAAGAGCATGCATACTGCATAGTAAATCACTCATCCGTACGACACAAATGCAAAGGGGCTTTTAGGGCATTGGCCCCTCCTGCAGCACCCAACATTGACAATCTATCGTGCAATCAGTTTATATAGCTTTGGTGCAATCTATGCAGTTCTCCAACCACCAAAAGAGGGTATCGGTACAGCAAAGAAACCTCACACGTTTCATTGGGAAAAGATTGGTTTGAAATGTGTATCAAAATGAAAGAAAGCAATACCCAAGAAGCTAGTGTAAATCAAAGCAACATAGTGGAGAGCAAGGCTATATAAACCGTGGAGAGGATGCCCCACAACCAACATGTAGGTATTGATCTTACCACTTCACTTTGCTGGATCAGGATCTGCGGCTAGCACAGTTGCCTAGCCAATGCTTGTCATTGATAATTGTATATATTTGATGCACTGTTTCTTTAATGCGAAAGCCACTCAAGTGTGCCAAAGAGGTCCGACATTACAGCAGGTATTGACGAAAATTATCGAGATTAGAGCCATATGGTTGCAGAGTATCGGCTAGCCTTGACTACCTCAACCTACTTGGGCAATATGGGCATTAATCATTGAATGCCTTGAAAAGGGGAACCAGCCACATGTATGATTTTGAATAAGCAGAAAAATACATTACACTAGAGAAATGGGAGAACCAAGACAGGTAGTGCCACTCAGTTTTTATCCAATTATTATCCAATAAAACAATGATATCACATAACATATCTTTCTCTAATATTTTGTTTCTTGCGCGTCAGATATGTCTACTGTTTGGTAAACAATAGATGCGTTCGGCCTTCAGTGCACTGCGTTCGGCACAGGCACAGACTCGCAAGGCATAAATCGATGCAATTATATGAAAAAGCTGCAATTACCAAATTTGAACAATAAAATTTAAAGAAAAATGCTTTTCATTGACTAGTATTATGTCTGCATATCTATGAAATGAGTGTTATAGCTTCGGCAGCTAAGCAGCAAGCAAAGTACAAAATTGTGTTACCGGTCAGGGGACTTCAAACCTGCGAAACGTCGGCAGCTCACCAGCGTCCAAACTGGTCCAAACGTCCAAACTCCAAATCGTCTAATTTACAAACTTTGATCGGACACCCACCGCGGACAATCCAGATCTTATTAGATCTTAAATTGATATTGAGAATACACAATGGGCATGGTTTTCAATAAAAGTAGGGTACCTATTTCGAAACATCATAGAAATAAAGACATTCACTGATTCGAACCTTTTCTCAAGACCCCGATTTCAACCAAACGTCCACGGTCCAGATGCTCCCTAAATGCCCGCAGAAACTTCTTGGACTTTTTGTAGGGATACCTACTTATTCTACGAAACGTGTTTTGCATGGTAATGCACCAATGCACTAGCGGAACCAGACCGGGATGAAAGGGCTATCGGCCACCAAGCTGCATGCCTGCCATATGGGATGTTAGCATCATGTTAAAAATCGGTTTTCGAGTGGACGCTCATTGCCCCCCCCCCCTTCATGCGACTGTCAGTCCTGGCATGTGTAGAGGGTCAGGAATTGATAGCTAGGTACTACCAAAACAATGTTGTTTACCGGGGTGTGCCATCTGCATGACTGAGAACTCAGAACGCATTCCATGGTTTTCGGTCGTTACCGATGGTTCCTTTCCGATGTTTTTATTACCCCTATCACAATCTACAGTCTTCACATACCTAGACAAACGCAACTAAACATTCGCAGACAAACTCAACTAACCCCGCGTTCGATGTCTCTCGGACGACGAAGATTCTACGCCGTCTGGCCAATCACGTTCCATAACCGCAGCCGAGCCCCCGCTGACCTTGGACGGGATTGGCCGGACGACGTAGAATCTTCGCCGTCCGAGAGACATCGAACGCGGGGTAAACATTCGCAAGTCATCCTCGTCGAAAATAAGCCGCAAACGTCGAAGTGGCTCAAACTGGACTCTGCCACCGCCTACATATATGGTCGTTCACTCTCAGGAGTCAGCGAGCCAGTTGCGAGTATAACTATTAATTACTAATAACACCAGGGCACTCAATTATTGCAACTCTGCATCACCATCGGGATTTGAGGGCCACTGAGACGTGTAGCAGTTACCTTTGACCAGACATGTGCATGGATCCGAGAGGTGGATCTATGATCTCAGTGGATCTCTCGACAAAATGAAGAGGTCGGAACTATGATCCCAGTGGATCTCTCGACAAAATGGAGGAGTCGGATCTATGATCTGAGCGGATCCCAGATTCAGATCCACGGGATCAGATCTTGGATCCATTTTCCAGATCCATGCACACGTCTGCCTTTGACCTTGTTGGTCTGCTAGCCAAGGTCTGTTATTTTGAGCATTGTCCACTGCACGCTGACGCGGCCACGCTCTCTTACCTGGCGTTCCGCCATCGTTCCTCGATGCTTGAGCGTCGGTTTCAGCCGTTAGTGGGTTATATCACGGCGATGGTCGGCTTTTGGGATCTGTTAGGGACACGTATGGCACCGATAATAAGCAAGAACGAAAGCGCACGTCGCGTCGACACCGTGGCAGGGAGCCAAGTGGCGGCCGCCCCCACGCAGCTGCGTATTTTTAACGCTCTCTGCACCTCCCCGTCACACTGGGTCTGCCTCCACAGCCACACGCAGTTCATTCACCGGAGCCCGTTTGGCGGATCCGCCAATAGGCAGGCGGCCGTCGGCTCCGCTCAGTGCTCGCTCGCCACAGACAAGCGCCCCCCACTGCGTCCGGCGCCACCCCTCCCCTCTGCAGCTGATCACCCCTCCCCTCTGCAGCTGATCACCCCTCCCCGCTCCCCACCGGACCGGCCGGCTATACTCGTCCCCCCCCCCCTCCCCCGTCCGACCGTCGGATGATCGTCGGTCGATAATGAGGGGACGGTAGGCCGACCGGCCGGCGTCCCGTCCGACGCGCCACTGCGAATCACAGGAGAGCAGTAGATAAGACACCTGATTCTGCACCTTCGTGACAGTTATTTGCGTACTTGACGTGGACGTCAAAACCTGACCCAGAAGAGGCTTTTTTCTCGTCATCGATAGATGTGTCTTTATCAGCAATGATGTGCAAAAGCTGGCTCAGATTCCGGCCATGGCACATAATTTTCACGAACTCCAGCTGCTATGTCTCCAATAGGCGATGATTTGTATCGTACCTCGGCACGGCCATTGGACAATATGGCACCGCCCATCATTCATGGGAGTAGTCTGTTTATAGTGTAAGTCGAACCGTCTAAACGCAGCGCTGAATCCAGTGTTTCTTCGTTTGTTTGTTTGTTTGTTTGTTTGTTTGTTTGTTTGTTTGTTTGTTTGTTTGTTTGTTTGTTTGTTTGTTTGTTTGTTTGTTTGTATATAACACTTAACTTATTTTTGTGAAGAACACTACGTTGTCAAGCTGCACCGTTCATCCAGCTGTAATATCTCGCTGCAATACTCCCTATCTAGCCGGGTCTGGTTTGGCCGCTGGGCTGCTCTTATTCCAACACTCCCGGGCAGAGTGCATCGTCACCCACCATTAAAAGCCACCCGCGCTGCTCAATGAACTGGCAAAGCCAGTGGCAGTTGATCGTTGCCTCATTGGTTGGTCAATACTTATTTTGAGCCCGCCCCTGTGTCACCGACCTATTGCTAAACGTTCACGACTATGGGGGATGGGGAATTCCTATCGCCCATATCTCGGAGTTCAGAGCCGATAACAAATGCTGGCCAGCTCCAGCAGCGGAAAAGGCGGCGGCACGCGATGTCCAGGGTGGCCTAAGAGGGCGTTAAGGCTGTGGTCATCCCCAGACAGCGTTTACTACTTATGGGTCCGTGTGAAATTGTGAGGGATGTCGCTGTCTTCAATTCAGCTAGTCTATCGCTTTAAACACGATGGCTGCTTAATCCACACCTGCTACATTTGCAGTTTGCACTACTTCTTAGTTCTTGTCTTTGTTCTTAGCTTTCAATCTTTTTATCACGAAATTGGTTCGCAAAGATGCCTTCCGGCCTTCCTATCCAACTGATTTGTTTACAGTGCTTCTGCATGGTTTTACCCATACCTACCCATAATACGAAACGGGTGCGCCTCGCATCATTAGCGTAACAGTCGCTTTCATATGTGTCATAAGTTCATCTGAAATACAAAATGTCATCTGATAAAGTTTCGAGTTGGTATCATGCCATGTTAGAATGTATCATAGTATAAGCAGGTATGTACTTCCATTGCCCAATACAAATCGGATGCTACGTGGAATACATCAGATGGCCAAACACGCAAATGTGCCTACAAAAATGTTGTGCATGTGCAAGCTTGTCAGTTGTCACAAGCCCACTCACCAAATTTCACCCAGCCCAGTAATAGCATCTAGTCGGCAAGGCGATCTGATTTCGAACTCAATCTACCAATCGATGTGCAGCTGGCGATTGCAAACAGAGGAGCCATGCACCGAGTGGGTCGTGATACGACGCCCGGCGCGCGCGGCAGGCGCGGTTACACCAGCAGCGGCGCGTTTCGCAATGACCGGGACGGTCCGTCTGTCTGTCTGTCTGTCTGTCTGTCTGTCTGTCTGCTGTTGCCGGTAGTACTTACAGTAGGGTGCGAGGCAACAGTAGACTGTAAGATTGCGCTGTCGAATGTGAAGTCAGCACCGGGCAAAGCAAGTAGCTTATCTGATAGCTCCTCTCAGAGCTTAGATTCGATACCGCTGGATGCCAAGAACTTCTGGGCTGCACAATGCCCAAGAGGTCATGGAAGCTTAGGTTCAGGGTCCGATCCACCTGTTCGGAAGAGATCGACCGTTATCTATATAACATAAGTTGAACATGATAACACTCACCTTTTGAAGGTTGGATGAAATCCCTCGATTTTTACGAATACGGGTAAAAAGCGGCGAATCACGATGCAACTTTCAGTGCCCTCGAGTCAATAAAGCTTACACATTCATGAAAATATAATTACCCTCACTCAAATGATATTTGACCCGTAATCCTCCTTATCGATGCAGGACTCGACATATACAGGGTGTCCCAAAAGTAAGGCCATGATTTAAAACTTAAATATCTCGAGAAGTAAGAGTCCGAATCACTTCCAATATTAACACGTGCAAGGTACATCCATAAAATTATTTTCTTGCATGCTTAAACCATTTTTTATCATAACTACACCGAGCAGTAGGCATAAAACTGAGAAGGTCGAAATTCAACTCTTAGAGAGGGTCCGTCATTAAAACAAAGGGTAAATACCGCCCAGTTTTCGGCCCTAAGCAGACCCTAACAGCTCGCCCTATCTCTGAACTCATGCATAGTTTCGCCTCAACCGGTAAAACGTCAGAAAAAAGGTATAATGTACGCACACTGCACAGGGCATGTCTACTTAGCCACCTGTGCTTCGAGGTCCTGAGGACGACAGCGGGAATCGGGTGAAAATAAATCAAGAGAGGTGGCCGAGAGTCCTCCCAGTGGTTCTTCCGCTCGTCGCAACGCAGTTGTGCCGACACCATCAACCAGCAGTGGTTTCAGCAGGATGGAGACTATGCTTGCACCGTCCTGAAGATCATGCATTGTCTCCGAGAGTGGATGTGAGATCGCGTAATTTTCAGTCAGGGCCAGGGTTACTTTTAAAGGGGGGGAAGAGGGGAATTTCCCCCCTTCGAAAATTCCGCTCCCCCTTTCAAATCGTGTCTGAACGGCTAGGGAGGGAAGGGGGAATTTCCCCCTTTCAAATTTATTTTGGAGCCCATTTTCAATCAATTCGCTATTCAGATTCTATAGCCATCGTTAATCAGATTCTCGTCATCAATCAACGTTGCTGGCGTTAAGATAATTATTAATTTTCAATTTTCGGTTCCATCCAACCATTTTACGTTCAGTGCAGCAGGAACTCCAGATTTGACCCGATACCGATCGGATAGTCGGTGGGACCGTCTCTTGTCTTGTCTCTTCCGTCTTTTCGCAATCACTGACATATCGGTACAGGCGTCGGCGTAGAAACCGGCGGGGGACGGGATTACCTCTCCGAATCAAGGGTGGATACAGGGGGAGGGGGGCAATGGGCCATGGCCCCTCCTTTGACGCGAAAAGAAGGTGACCCCCTTTTGGACCCCCTTTTATATTCTGTGTTCTTTCTCAGAAACGACCCATTTATTCACGATTATTTTCACTTTTTCATCGACGCCAAGGCGAGACATCTAAAATTTTTGTCCCAATATGACAATGGCCGTGTTTAACCATCCTCCAAACCGGAATCATTGAAGGAAAAACAACGTTATTTTTGTCCCATAGGCATTAAAGCTTTGAGTAATAAATGACTTTTCTCTTTATGCAGCATTCACGTTCATCTGCTTTGCATGCAGAGCAGGGCGCAAAAAAAATGTACCTCATCACAGCCGGCTTTCCCAATGGAACTTTCACTGCTCACTAATACTAATAGTAATAATTCAAGTTTTGTGCTTCATTAGTTTTTGTTCGGATATCACTGCCCACTTTGTAGTTGTAGAGGTTGCAGTTTTGTAGCGCCGTCGTTTCTCTACATACACGACCACACAAAGAACTTTGGAATTGCTCGTTAACTGTAGCTTTTGTGAGCGTTTAAGAATTTCATGTTTTTTGCTCATTTTTGCTCGAACAGTTTGACATCAATTACTCCTGACCTAAGGTGACCTAAGACTTGAAATTTTGTGCGAAGGTTTCAAATTGATGCCCGGTAAGGTACTAAAAATTTGGCGGCGCTGCGCGCCGCCGTTTTTCGCTTTTCAAGAAAACCCACATGGGGGCCAAAATGACCTCCAATCAGGGCGCGGATTAACCTCTCTCTTTAGAAAGGCGTTACTTAATGTTTGGCCGGGGTATACCTACTAGTTATTGATACCACTGATAGGTTGGTACTACTGATTGGCATTTGCAAGGGCGCAGTCAAGTTGGGACCTCCCCCGCCCCTTACAGCCAAGGTAGGTGCGTATATTTTTTAGCAAAATTATTTTTTTTGGTAACCTTCCAAAATAAAGTGGCTGAAACCCGAGGAAAGAATAGGATTTGGGGGTAGGTAAGGTTCTGCGGGCTCCATCCTAACGAAAAACCTAATGGTATTGCCGCCCACCCCCCTTTCAGATGCCCCTGGATCCGCCTTTGCCCCGAACTTTATTCCCCCTCTCAACTTTTCCTGTAAAAGTAACCCTGGTCAGGGCAACGCCATTGAATGGCCTCAGCGGGCACCTGACGTTACACCTTCATATTTTTATTATCTGGGTACACAACGGAAAGGTTGTCTTTTAGGACAACCCAACGAGCCGGGAAGAACTAAAGGATGATCCCTCCGAGCAAACATAAGCGGCATCTCACCAGAGAATCGCTCCAGAATAGTGGAGGAAGTAAAACGCAGTCTATTCATGCACGCGGCCCGAAATGGTAGCCATGCAGAAAAGCAGCAAATGTGGGGCTACGAGCCAATGTATTGACTCATATGCATATCAGAATAAAATTTTATAAAATGCTCTTTCATATCATGTCCTATTTATTTCTATCCATCGCGTATTTTTGGCGGTGTAGCCAAAACAAATGATGACCTTACTTTTGGGACACCCTGTATGTCGAATCCTGGCATCGATATTCCTGGCACCGACATATATGTCGGTGCTCATTGTAGGTATGTGCGTTTCCAATCTTTCTGTGATCACTCTATGCTTCCTCTCGTCACGAGTAACGCTCATTTTTTCCCGCGAAGCCGTCTTGCTCGACCAGGGGCAGAACCGCTATAGAGATGGTGGTCTGATTCAAGGTCTGTCTGATCAGCCATCAAGTCGAAGACGTAAAGGGCTGTGAAATTGTGCAAACGGACGAGGATTAAGGTCCATTTTCGTAGCAGTTAATTAAAGGCTCTTTGTAGTTTTAATTCGCTGATGCATATATGACTATTAAATATTTATATGTACTATTTAGTTACGAATTATGATAAAAACAAAATTATACTCTCCTGTGCCTTCGTTGCCAGGCTAGGAGGCATGTATGGAGACATTGCCAGGCTAGGTGACAATAGAGAGAAAGCCACAATGGCACAAGGCATTTTTCTAGCCATTTTTGACGAGCTTTCCAATTAATTCCCATGCCTTCATTGGCCATCCGCGGTCGCCTACCGTGTGACCAAAAACGTCGTGACCTGCAGGAATATGAAATCATAGAGGTGAGCATTATGAGAACCATGCGTCCCACCAACAAGGTAAGTTAAAATATCTTCACAAGTTGAGCGGAAATTCATTTTTACAGCAAAGGGCTTGATTAGTACCTCTCTGATGTCAGTTAAGTAGTTTGAGCATTACATGCCAATCGATTTAAATAAATAGCAGCTTACATAGTTATAATCATTAAAGTGGCCATCCCACCTAAACATTAGTTTTGAGTTGAGATAGCCAAATTGGTGGCCATGGGCATGGCCTGCAAATACCGGTTTGGGCACTCACAACATCGAAAAATGCTTTAATTCGGAGATGGAATTTCAAACTAGCGTTTTCGGATTCTAAGGGGCTAATGCATTGAGATGCCCCCTTAGAATTTGTGACGTCAGCGGTGATGTAACGATTTTAAAGCCTGATACTAACATCTTTGTGAAGCAGTGGCGGTATATGCTATTTGCGCGCAACATCTGCCGCAAACGCCGCACTTCCAAAATGAAGTTGCTAGGAACAGCGGAGATCCAAAAAAGTAAACAAAAGTAAAAGTCCAATATCTTGAAAACCGGTGAATATTTTTCGGTGACATTTGGTAGGTATTCGTTTTTGCTATTTCTGAACCGAGCGACATCACTTTCATGCAAATTCATTAGCTTTTTTGAAGGTGGGAGGGTCCCTTTAATGTAGCTCCCGCTTCAACTCTTCCCCCCCCCTCTCTCTCTCTCTCTCTCTCTCTCTCTCTCTCTCTCTCTCTCACTCTCTCGCGCGCGCTCTCCATGTATGTCTATCATGCTATTCAATTATTCATGCTTGGTCTCTTCACACCCAATTTTCTCTCACACTTATTGGTCGCTACATTTTCCTTTCCGAAATATGTTTGATCTTGTCTTATTCATGACGTTAGAATCTATCTAAACGCGAAAGTCGCAGCAAAAATACGCTTACATCTTTGTACTTCAAATGTGTATTACGATAGAAACCAGCATCCGGATTCTTTAATTGCAAGCCAGTCAGTAATAACATACCCCTCTAAGCATGGAGTGGCTATCGCACCATGCATTCAATCGTTACCCACCATGAAGCATCTCAAGTTACCGGTATTTGTATCACAATAACATAGGCCATAGCATAACACAGCTGCTCAATGTTCATAATTGAACGCAAATACTGGATACATTTAGCCCCCGTAATGGGAAGAGGGCAGAGCTGCCGGGTATTTTCCCGCTCCGCCAGTTGAGATGGGAACGATGCTGTAGCTGGTGCTGTAGCCACTGCCACCGCCTCCTCCGCTGTAACTACCAATGCTTCCTCCGCTGTAACCACCGCCACCGCCACCGCTGTAACCACCAATGCTACCTCCGCTGTAACCTCCTCCTCCGCTGTAACCACCGATGCTTCCTCCGCTGTAGCCGCCGCCTCCGCCGCTGTAACCGCCGCCTCCGCCGCCTCCGCTGTAACCACCGATGCTTCCTCCGCTGTAGCCACCACCGCCGCTGTAACCGCCTCCCCCGCTGTAACCGCCACCGCCTCCGCCGCTGTAACCACCGATGTTTCCTCCGCTGTAACCACCTCCACCTCCGCTGTAACCACCACCGCCTCCGCTGTAGCCACCGCCTCCTCCACTGTAACCGCCTCCTCCTGCTCCGCTGTAACCACCGCCGCCGCCTCCACTGTAACCACCGCTTCCACTGCTGTAACTTATTGACACTCCAGAAGAATATCCTTTGGGAGGACCGTAGTCACTGTAGCCGTCGCCGCCGCCTCCACTGTAACCACCGATACTTCCTCCGCTGTAACCACCGCCTCCGCTGTAACCACCGCCGCCTCCGCTGTAACCACCACCGCCACTGTAACCACCGCCTCCACCGCTGTAACCACCGCCTCCGCCTCCGCTGTAACCGCCTCCGCCTCCGCTGAAACCAACGCCGCCTCCGCTGAAACCAACGCCGCCTCCACCGCTGTAACCGCCTCCGCCTCCGCTGTAACCACCACCTCCGCCTCCGCTGTAACCGCCGCCTCCGCCGCCTCCGCTATAACCGCCGCCGCCGCCGCCTCCTCCGCTGTAGCCTCCGCCTCCGCCGCTGTAACCGCCGCCGTCAGCCAAGCAAAGCCCGGCCAACAGAGCTATGATGCAAACCTGCAAAATATTCGTGATGTCAGCTATTTATTGCTCCTGTGTTCTTAGTTTGTGTTTTAGTTGATGTTGTCAACCATGACCTCAAAAGGTTTTATGTTCCAGATAAATTATTTTGCGCACTTCATTTTATGATATTGTTATTGCTTTGTTGGATTTGTACTCATTGGTTTATTATTTACATCATTATCCAATATAAATGAAAGTTTCATCTATTGTTCTTTGTACTAATTTTCGTTCATCGTTAGTTATACTTATCTTACTCAGTTAATTACATCTTAGTTGCTATGCTTTTCTAATGTATGAGCCACATCGCTGGTTGATTTGTCTCACCTTTCTGACCGCCATGTCGGCCAGCTGCTCTGACCTCAGTGTCTGTCTGTCTGTGTGTGCAGTTCGGAGTGTGCCTCTGTCGGGTCACCGGTGCCGCTTATATACGGTCCCGGTGACGGGAGACGGCCGCCACGCAACACCCACCATGACCGGCATTTCATAGAGTCTCTAACTCGTACCAGACTGCATTGGTATCGACGATCATGAGCTGGTTTTTATTAGACGGGTGATGCTACGCTACAAGAAGTGCTGAACGTCGATTAGCATCGGTTTCTGATCGGGAAGCATCCGTGGTGTTCTCATCGGTCGCTGATGTGTCAACGCGCCTTTAATTAGTAGAGATCTGACCGAGGTCATGACCCTAAACAAATGTTAACATATGTATGATAACTCAGCTGTAAGCCTATAACAGCTGTAAATTAGTATTATATGGATGCAAGTGAAATTTCTCGCTTAGAGTCATGTTGATGAGAAAAGAACTGTTTTTATTGAAAGTGTGGCGGGTGAATGAACTTATTTTATGTGAGTGGCTGAGAGGTGCCCCAGAGTGAGGAGGCGTGAGTCATAAAAATGGCTTATCAGTGAAAATGTTAAGAAAATACAGAAATGACAGAGAATTTGAAGTTCTTAGTTGTTTCTCATTTAAGTCATTAAGTTTATTAAGAAAAAGACACAACGCGAGGAAACTATCAAGCCACATTTTAGTGCAAAGTGACCCAGATATTCGGAGTTACGATATTAGGTAACGTAATGTAATTCTAAAGTAATATTAAGTCGAGATTTAAGTATGGGTAACAGGCGCAAGAAGACGCAGCAAGGTGAAGCTGAAACCAGTCAGAATCAAGAAGAAGTAACGGATGGAACTGAAGGGACAATGTCAACTACCACTTCTACAGAAAGCCATGTGAGGACAACTGAAGTGAATTTAAGAAGAAAGAAGTCGAGACTACTTCGGGATCTACGCGATGGACAGAACAGACTGCATTCACTGATTGAAACCAGTGAGCTAACTGTCTCGCAGATCTCGCAGATAGGTTCTGAGCTAGACAAGGCAAGCGATGAGTTGTTGAACATAGTGGAAGAGATGGCCAACAAGATGTCTAGTGGACAAGAGGAGGATGAAGATCCGTGGGAAGAATACGACGATATTCAGCGAGAAATATCCAAGACTCTGCGGCTGGCAAATAAATCAGTGAGAACTGTAGTTTCTGCAGCTCTAGACAAGCGTAGCAACGAGACGAAGGCCCTGAGGCACGAAACGGAGTCGCATCAGTCAGTCACTGAAGAAACTGATGCGCTTCAGCAACCAGAAGAGCAAGCAGCCTCACCTGAAGTCGAAGGTCGACGTCACAGCACTCGGTCGCCACGAGATAACGAGAGAGTGAAGGTCGACTGGGCGAACTACGGACTCACGTATCAGTGAACAATCAGGATGAAATAGACGCCATCCATGCTATGACCGACTTGGAACTACTCGGAGTGAGAAACGAGAATGAGAAGATTCTCTCGTATGAGGAAAAGTCCGCACTTAAGAAGGCACAAGACTCACTCAAGTACGACGGCGAGCGATATGAGGTAGCAGTACCTTGGCGTCGTGATCAGCCCGAGTTGAGTGGAAACTTCGGATACGCTGTGAGCCGATTAAGAAAAACTGAGCAGAGCCTGATAAAGAATGAAGACAGGTCTCTTCTAGAAAAGTACAATGCGAATTTTGAAGATTACGTATCTAAAGGATACCTTAAGAAGATCGTACCTGAAGATAGAGAGGCTGCATCCTTAGACGGCTGGTTCTTGCCCCACTTCCCGGTAGTAAAGGAAGATCGCGCCACGACGAAGATACGGGTAGTGTACGATGCAGCTGCAAAATTTGAAGGGAGAAGTCTGAACGATGAACTCTATCCTGGACCATCCATCTGTAACGACCTGATAGAAGTCCTGCTGGGATTTCGCCGTCATGCGATCGCTCTGACTGGAGACGTCGCGGAGATGTTTCTCCAGGTGAAGCTACCCGATGGTGATCAGAAGTTCCATCGTGTGCTCTGGCGCAACTGCGAAGCTGGAAGAGAGCCAGATATCTATGAAGCACAAAGGTGGCTGTTCGGAAACGCTGCAGCACCATTTGCAGCCCAGTTCGCGATGAAGGAGAATGCCAAGCAGCACGCTTCACGATATCCTCTCGCTTCCAACACGATCAAGGACTCGTTCTACATGGACGATGCCCTCGTCTCATTCGAAAGTGAAGATGAAGCGAAGGAAGCCAGAAAGCAACTCACAGAGCTGATGCAGTTGGCCGGCATGAAGATAAGAAAATGGAGAAGCAGTAGCAGCTCAGTGACGGACAGCATACCAGAAGAAGAGCGAGCCAAAGAGTCAAGTTTCACTATCGAAGATGGCCCTCAAACTCGTGCCAATGCACTTGGAGTCGTTTGGAATGCGGATGAAGACAAGCTGAGCATTAGCAGCAATGCTACCATTCAGAAGAACATGACGCCAAAGCCTACCAAGAGGATCTGTCTCAAGACGCTCGCAGCCATCTTCGATCCTCTATGCTTGATGAGTCCATTTACCGTCCGAAGCAAGATCCTATTCCAGGAAACTTGGTCCCGAGGTCTTCAATGGGACGATGAGCTGCCCGCCGACATGAAGCGCAAGTGGGCGGAATGGGTGACGGAGCTGGAGCGCGTGAGCTCTTTATTAGTGCCCCGATGCATCCACCCCTTCTCCAAGGCTACAGCTCAGAAGCTACACGCCTTCTCAGATGCCTCTGAGCAGGCATATGCAGCCGCAGTCTACGTCGTGACCACAAGTGAAGATGGCGTTGCCGCAAGATTGGCTCTAGCAAGAGTCAGAGTCACCCCACGCTCTAGAAAGGTCAGCATCCCTCGTCTTGAGCTGATGGCTGCCCTCCTGGGTCTGCGACTGGCGAAGAAGGCCTGTGCAGCATTCAGGATCCAGATATCAGATGTGCTGTTCTGGTCTGACTCCATCAACGTGCTCTGTTGGATCAGAAATGAAGTCAAGCAGTTCCAGTCGTTCGTGGCGCATCGGATATCAGAGATTCGGGAAGTGACAGATCCTGAGCAATGGCAGCATGTTCCCGGAAATCAAAACCCAGCAGATCTTCCCAGCAGAGGCGTAACACTGGAAGTTCTGAAGTCCAGTGACCTGTGGTGGTCGGGCCCTGCATTTCTTGTGGAAGAGCGAGAAAACTGGCCAATGCCAAGAGATCTACAATCAGAGCCATTCGACAGGAGCGAGATGAAGAAGACGAAGACAGTACACAGCACTCTGATCAAAGAAACTCAAGATGACCTCCGGCTACACCCAAGTCACTTCTCAAGCTGGATGAGGCTGGTCAGGGTGACGGCGTGGGTTCTAAGGTTTATCGAGAAACTGAAGAGACTAACAAGAGGAGAGTGCCCAGATGAACACAACGACGGCACATCATCATCACTGGACAGGCGGGAGATGTCTTCTGCAGAGACATTCTGGCTCCTGCGAGCTCAGGAATGTTTTGCCAAGGAGCGAAGACAGCTGGAAGCACAAGTCGCAGTCCCGTCCGGTGAAAGCAAACAGGGTCAAGTCTTCAAAAGCAGCAGCATCCGCAGACTGTGTCCGATTGTAGATGACCATGGACTACTGCGAGTCGGCGGACGCCTCCAGAGAAGCGACTTGCCATTTGATGTGAAGCACCCAGTGCTTCTCCCAAAGGGCCATCAAGTGACCCGTCTCCTGGTACGTCATGTGCATGAGCAGGGTGAACACGAGCTCGGCGTTGAGCACACCATATCGGAACTTCGCCAGCGGTTCTGGGTGATAAGTGCCAGAGAAGAAGTCAAGAAATGCATCAGATCTTGTACAGAGTGCATCAAGAGATCCAAGAAGCCAGAGAAGCAGATGATGGCGCCGAAGACTGGAGCTGAAGTGATGTATTCCTGCCGCGCGTTCAGTCACTGCGCGTTGGACTTCGCAGGACCGTTCGAGACCAGACAGGGAAGAGGGAAGACTCGGCTGAAACGCTACCTCTGCGTCTTCCTGTGCTTACAGAGTAGAGCGGTGCACCTGGAGATGGCCTGCGGACTCGACACTGACAGTTTTCTGCGAGCATTCCTGAGATTCATCGCTCGAAGAGGGAGGCCGTCTGAGATCATCTCCGACAACGGGAAGAATTTTGTTGGAGCAAGTCGCGAGCTACGGAAGCTAGTCGGAGCTCTGGACCAAGAAGTGATCAAGAGACAAACCGCTCACTTCTACATAGACTGGAAGTTCATTCCTCCGGGAGCGCCTCATTTCAATGGTGGCTGCGAGGCGATGGTAAAAAGTGCGAAGCGGGCACTACGAAGAACTTTAGAAGCCGCCCATCTGACAGATGAAGAACTGATGACCGCGTTCTGCCGCGCGGAGGCGCTTCTGAACACCAGGCCACTGACCGCGGTCTCATCTGACCCGTCTGATGCGCCACCGCTCACCCCGGCAGCGTTCCTGCTCGGTCACACCCAGCTGGATATCTGCTCTGAAGACGCTGACACGCCCGAGAACGCCAGAAAAAGGTGGCGTCGACTCCAGCAGCTGAACACAGAGTTCTGGCGGCGCTGGATCAGAGAATACTTACCAAGTCTTCAGACAAGACAGAAGTGGACGGAGATGTCACGCAATCTGCGTGAAGGAGAGATGGTGCTGATCGCAGACTCATCGGTGCCTCGAGGCTCGTGGCCCCTGGGCAGAGTCGCCAGAACGTTCCCCGGTCAGGACGGCCTCGTCCGCGTCGTGGAGGTGAACACGCGGAAGGGTGTGTACAAACGACCGGTCACCAAGATCGTGCGACTGGAGCTAGACAACTGAAGTAACTGAGAGCTCATGAATGGCCGGTCGATGTTCCGGCACGTAGTGTTCTGAATGACGTGCTCATTCAGTGTCGGGGGGAAATGTTGATGAGAAAAGAACTGTTTTTATTGAAAGTGTGGCGGGTGAATGAACTTATTTTATGTGAGTGGCTGAGAGGTGCCCCAGAGTGAGGACGCGTGAGTCATAAAAATGGCTTATCAGTGAAAATGTTAAGAAAATACAGA